GTGTGTGTGTGTGTGTGAATATTCTTCATCAGCGGGCTACAGAGAGAGAAAACCCTCCATACAGTCATCCATTACACAGATATGTGGGGCTGTACTTGTATGAATTCATACACTGATGCACATTTGGGATTCAGTATCTTGCAGCAGCAGGAGGAGCCGGGGATCGAACCGCCAACCTTCTGATTGGTGGACGACCCGCTCTACATCCTTTTTTAACCATTTAACTTTATTATTACAGTTGTTATTTTACTTTTTCTTATTATTCTTCGTACACACACTGCAACGAATCCATAGTAATTAACTGTGTTTGTGCTTCACAGTCTAATAACTGTGAATTAATTGTGCAGAATTAAGCTTTTCCATCACTGGAACTGTAACCAAAAGTACTCAAGTGTATGTGGATATGGGTGTCCCTGAACACATCACTCACCATATTTAATTTTTTGTGTTTTCCAATCGATTAATACTTGATATATTAATTGTAGATTAAAAAAAAAAACAGCTCGACCCAGAAAGGCTAATCTTCACTGCTGCTGTCTGCAGTGTCACAGGAGAGAGTTTATCTTCGACCTCGGTGTAATCGAACTGGGTTGTTGTTGTTGGGTTTATTTTATGATTACTCAGACTGAAAACTGCTCCAGCGATAATCCATCTGCCCAGTTATTCCATCTGTTGAAAGTAGGGGAGCTCAGATTAATCTTAAATGATTACAAATATAAAATACATACACAACTCTGTCCTGACTGAAGCAGCGAGCAGCCACATGAGTTTTAAATGAAGTGAAATTTTCACACTAAATTTAAACAGTTTACAGGTTTGAACAAGTCTCTCTTTTGAAATGATGTGTGGCAAATAATAACATTATCTCTATCACTGTATCTATAGTGCAGAACAACCGATCAACTGCACAATTAACACAAATAGTGAAAACAACTGCAGGAAGTTTGTGTAAAATTAGGAATTTATTAGTTCTAGCAGAGATTTTCCTGTGAATATTGATTGATATTTTTAAGACCTTTATTATGTATTTAAATACTTAAAATGCTTATTTATTGACAGATTCAGTGTTTTCTTCTCCCTGACTCTTGGCCATTGTTCTATCAGTTCTTTGGTTGTTTTTTAACTCAGGACGAGGTTGATCTTCAGAGAGCAAAGGCTCTGTGAATGTAGTTTGTGATCGGCTCTTTAAAGTTGATATCTTAAATAATAATCCACTGAGCTATATTATATAACATCCTGGATGCTGTTTGAGAAGTATATAAATGAAGAAACTACTTTATTTTAGTATTTTAGCTCTTTGTGTAGACGTTGTTTTGTGTCCAGTTCTCTTTTTACTTTAAGATTTTCCTTCATAGAGAATTAATTGAATGGTTATGTTACGTTATTATGTCCGATTCATGTTATTTATTTCGTTTTATTATAGTTCTGTGTCTTCTGTTGACTTGTGGAGGCCCGAAGATCCCTTGCTGGCTTCCCACCCACCCATTAACACCACGGAGCAGCTGGAACAGGTGACCAAGCTGGTGGCACAGGAGCCAGGAATCAAACCCCTGAAATCTTTGGATCCATTCAGGATTCAACAACAATCCTAACAAACAATAAATAATCTTCTTATTAATAAACCTTTAATTTATTGTGACAGCTGAAGAGTGACAGGAAAGGGGGAGAGAGAGAGAGAGGGAGAGCGCAGAGCTACACATTTTTAATGTTTATAGATCAATACTTCTCATTGATATTACTTTTCTCTTGTCTTTATTCACATTTTTAGCGAGAGTAAGTCCCCAAAGGCAACGTTATGTCGCCACATTACTTTAATATTGAGACACTTGGGCTACTGGCAACATTATTCTTAACAGGTAATTAGTATTTGTATTGGATT